ATTTTTTGTCTAGGAGGTTATACTGATACTAGACGTTTATGCTTGCATTGCTACATCTCAAATATTTCTGATGTACAGAAAACGTGGTGAATAAATTGCTATTATGTCATTAAATAAACGTTTCGTTTATTGTTTTCATTTGTGCACAATTTGTATGCTGTGTAGATGGGATTTTCCTACTTTCGTTTTTGACGGCAAATTTTCTACATACGAACTCAGGTACTCAGTTATAATTTAAAACCAACAACACATGTTTCTAATGATGTATATGCAGTTTTAGACATAATTTTGCTTGAAAGACATTATATATCTTGCTTATATTTTTTTTATTACTAGTAATAAGCATCCAGGAAATTCAGATCATCAGTAGTGGACTTTTTCACAGTATATAATTAATAAATAATTAAATTGAGAATAAAATTTATGTTTATTATTAGGAAAGTGTGTGTAAATAATGATAAAATTGTTCTTAAAAAGAATATTTCACTTTTTAGCTGATTTATAAATATCTTTGTCAACATAAAAGGCTTGAGCTATTGAACTGCGATGGGGGTACCTGTATGTTTTACCCCATATCTCGGTGAAAAACAGATGACCAATACATTTATCATGCCTATAAGATACTTCAAGCATTGGTTGCTATAAATAAAGACAAAAAAATCAGGGTAAACAAATTAATTATTCTAATAGAGAGCTTTATTTGAGTTTTGAGCTCTGTTATTTTATTAGAAAAATGAGATTAATTCTTCAATATTTTTGTAGTTTTAAGAGGAAATGTGTATTGTAGCCTGAAATTATTAAATATTATCCTATCCTTTTAATTTATGTTAAAAAGAATTTATTTACCATGTGCTATGACATAAAATGTAGACAGTCTTTATAACAGTGATGATTTTGTTTTTTATACAAGAGGGTACACGAGTGTTTCACACCCTATCTCAGTAAAAATATCGATTATCTATCTACTTTTTGTGCTTTTGAAGTAGATAAAGTATCTATTAATGTAAATCAGGACAAAAATTGCACCATTATCCAATTAATTCTACGAGTAGGGACCTACCTTAAATTTTTGAAACATATTTTACAACAAGTATTATACAAAAATCACTGCCCTAAGTGAAGAAATATTAATAAAGAAAGTACAATGTCATATGTTTGTACTTTAGATCCCATGAAAAAAAAAATTCACTCGAATAATCTAGTGTGAAATACCAGGTATACCAGACCCAGAATAGTAGTGACTGCCTAATAGCGAGAAATATAGGTCTTGTAGAGTTACGTATCCCTTGCTCTATTGCGTTAGCATATCCTCGGGAAAAAAAACTTGAGTTTTGTGAGAAATTAAGTCTTATCGCTTAGCTGGATATTCATGTGAAAAAATAACAGAGTTCTAATTAGTGGTTGTTGTATAGGTATGAGTTTCTAATTGAAATAAGAAAATAATTATTTCTATCTCACAACCTGAGTATAATACCGGTAATCATTCAATTACACTGGCGGATTAGTTTAGAGGTAGTGCACCCCCCCCCCCCGGACCCCCATTTCTGTTTCTATCTCACAACCTGAGTATAATAATCATTCAATTACACTGGCGGATTAGTTTAGAGGTAGTGCAACCCCCCTGCCCCGGGGCCCCTTTTCTGTCCCATATATACATAAGATTTAATAATTCAATAATTTTTAATTTTAAATAAATGTAATTTACCAATCGAATAAATATTATTAAAAAATATTTATTTAATTTCTGTATATTTTAACACTGACAAACTGTTAACTCTGACAAACAACTGCACCCCCCCCCCCCCCTTTTCGAGATTCCTGGATTCGCCACTGAAATCTGCGTCGCCGTGTGAAATAGTAGTAAGAAAGTCTGCTTTAAAGTCGCGGATTAAGGAGATAATCATTGTGTTACAGGTTTGAATTCCTCTGAAGGACGTGGAAACCGGTCCTCCAATGAGACCGTATAAACCGAGGTCCCTTGTCGCAGTTGGTGCTGGCACGAAAAAGGTCCCTCACTGTGCAGGGGGCCAGGGCCCCCTTTTCTTTACAAAAAATACTTAAGTTTTAATAATTCAATAATTTTAGTGTGGTTGTGGGCTCCTTAACTCTGACAAACTACTGCTCCACCCCTCCCTGTTGCTGTTGGTGCTGGCACGAAAAAGGTCCCTCACTGCTCAATGACCCAGGGTGTCAGCAGCTTTCCAACGGCAATTGTTAGTGTTCCTATGATTGAAAAATTGGAGCAAGGATCTGAAGGCAGCATTTAAACTCGTTTGGTTTTTGTTTCTTACATGACCACATTTAACGATAGAAGCCTGTCTCCACTAGGTAATAACCCCCCCCCCCCCTGTGCATTTTCCATTCGCAATACACATATCCACCAAACTGCACTAATCGAAATACAAATAAATATATAGAAAGGAAATATATCTAGTACTATACCTCAACTCCTTTTATTTTTCATTAAAATCAATCCACGATAAAAATCATTGTCTTTAATTTAGTTTTATGATTAATTTATATTGATATATACATTGTACTGACATTTCCACTTTTCGGCATACGGATTGATATATAATAACCCCATATTAAATAAATGTATATTACCAATCAAATAAATATTATTAAAGAATATTTATTTTATTTCTATATATATTTTAACACATGTGGAATATTCCATGTACGAGTGAATAGGTCTCTAGTGATGACGTTTTACGCATCTTATGAACGATAACTAATGTTCGACTTCTTTTACGCCATAGCATCTAGTGATAACCGTTGGTTAAGCCCCCCCCCCCCCCCCCCGCACACATACACTTTCAATTTCCTTCCTACGCCCATGAAGATAATAAGTAGCATAATTAAACTTCATCGCATCAAGTGTGTTAGAAAAAAGTACATGAATCGACTATTTTAGGATCAATGCAATTTACATGTAATAATTCAAATCAAATGTACTGAAATGACAATTTTGAATATGTAGCAATCATGTATACGAACGTAGAATTTCCAGGAAACAATGACTTCGTATCATAAACATATTTATCATCGGAAAATCCATTTCTACAGTAAGTGTAAACAGCTGTGTTTCATAGACGGTACTGACTGACAATATATAAATCAAAATGGTAAATATTTATGCAAAACAAAAAAGTAGGTGAACGAAATTCAAACACCCACAAGTTACAATGTGTTGAAATCCAAGATTTTCACTTTTATAGACATACTTCTTTTTAATTTGTTATCATGAATTAGATGCGAAAAATAACAATCGGATGATTTTAGATAATAAAATTACCAGGTGGTGTCTATACATTCGAGAGACATGTTTAATCAGAATTGCAAGAAGCATTTACTCTAATTAGTTCATGTATTAAGGAATGTCTTCTTTGTGATTCATTTCAAAACAGTTTTTCCAGTACACACGCGTCATTGATAAATTTGTACTCGTAGAAACATTCACATACATAATTAATCAGATAGATGGAAGCGTGCATATATCAGTCACAAAAAATTATTTTTGTCTAGTAATACAATCGAGTTTGATAAAGATAAAATGAAGAAACATGATGAGACCTACAATTCAAGTTCTTTAAAACATTTTCTCAAGGACATTCCACAAGCTCTGGCGTGTACTGTATTTGACAAATCATAACAGGTCAACATGATCAAAGAAAAGTAACTTGAGTTATTACTTGTATACTAGTATATAAACTTAAAGCTCTACTGAAGTCTTTTAAATGCCAAATCGGAGTCGGCCATATTAGTTTTCGATAACCGTACTATCTGCTTACCAGGTATCACCCAATTGTGTGGTCACGCACGACTGATTTAGTCAGTCGGTTTCATTCGAATAGGATATTCGCAAGGCCTATTTATAAAATTTTTATTCAATAAAATAAAAAGGCCGAAGTATCTCAAATTCAGAGATAAAATAAATGCTTTTGAAAGCATCTTTGGTGTTGAGCAACGCTGATAACACGCAGTTACATAGTCACAGAAGTTGGTACTTGTGCAGCTGCAGTCCACGTGCACTAAAAAGCTGAAGTTCCTGGTTGTAAATATCCAAGACCGTAGACGAGGCCGAAGGTAAGATAAACGAGCATAAATGCAAAGTCACCTAAAAAATAAATTACGAACCAAAAAATATATTTACTTCGTAAAAAGTTTGCAATGTGACAGGACCTCAGCTGACCGACCGACGACACGTCTGCACTCAGCACGATTTGACCGTGTTATGTCTTGCCCATGCGCAAGCGAAAGACTGGAGTGAAAATGAAAGTAGATCCAAAAGCACATGTGTAAACACAGGGGAGCAATTATTATAGCTGTTCACGAATAAAAGTGACAATAGATAAGTACAATGGTTGGCGAATTGTAAAATTAAATCGTTTTATATTGCTTTAGAGTGTCAGCAGTATGAGCATCGATATTTCGGACAATGCCAGCTATTGTGACGACGAAGAAGGAGCACAACATCATGAACATGTAAGTACTAACTAGAATGCAAAAATGAAAAGTATCAAAGCATCTGTGCACTGCTAATCTTCAAGCAAGTAATATTCATTTATCTTTTCTGATTAACTCATTTATTTCCTTTAATGCATAAAGTGAGATAGGTGCATTGCAGACTTGATCAGCTGCATATAATAATATTTACACATGCTGTATTTGCATTCAGTTATGGCACAACCTAATCTATTTTACCATTGTCACAAGATTAGTTTTGGGATTTGTTTGTCATTTTTTTTTATAATTGAAGAAATCAGAATAATTAATTATTTGATTTGTCTTATATGAATATTGCAGTAATATCAAGCTGTCATTATCTTTTAAACACACAGGATACTAATTAAATAAATGAGATCATGAACCAGATGCTATATTTGGATCTTCTGGTTATAAGGATGATGACAATGGTGAAAGTGATGAAGAAGAGGTGGCCGGCTGGGGGGCGATGAATATAAGATGTGGAAAGATATATCAAGGTTTGTGAATGGCACACGCTGATTGATTGATTTAATGATTGATTGTATATTAATTTTTTAACGTCCGTCTCGAAAATTTTCACTCATATGGAGATGCCACCACTTTCTGGTGGAGAGTTGCAAATTTTGTCCTAGGTCTATTGAGGGTCTATTTTGTCCTAGGTCTATGGAGGGATCTTTTTCATGCAGCACCTACTGCGATACAGGACCTCAGTTTATACGGTCTCATCCACGTCCTACAGTGGGATTCGAACCTGCCATGTAAGGATTGACTCCTTAGTTCACAACTATAGAGCAGATGCTCTAACCACTTCGCGAAGTGGGCGACACACTGTAATGAAGAATTAGTAACAAATTAAGTAGTTTTTATAACTATAAAATCAGCATCTGCTGTAAATAGAGTAAAACAAAGGTAGGAAAGATATGTTCCATTCATTTTTACCTCACAATAAAAATCATATAAAATGATTGTATAGAATGTCACAAACTTTATGACTCTATTTCCATTTCTATTTGTTTTCTCTGTGATATTTCTTTGAGAGTTATGTGAGTTGATTTCTTGATAATTCTACTGGAATGAAAATTTCGCTAAGTTAAAGATCAGCAGCTAAGAAGGCCTCATTTGTGTGTAACCTCAGTGGACAGGGACTTTTGAAATTGAGAGAGAGGATCCATGTGATTTAAATCTATTAGTCTAGACAACATTGTATGCAAATTATATGCACATTTCTAATATTGTTGATGTCCTGGCATACCCAACAAGCTAAAAAGTGATTTCCTAATTTTATGTTATTACTAGTAGTAATAACATAAAATTAGGAAATCACTTTTTACCTTTTAGTAATACTACATTAGTATGCAATTTACTACATAGTGGTATAATTTCAAAATTTTACTGTCTTTTGATATGATTAAAATGTCTCAAACTCTAAGGAACTGGATGTAGTGATTTGTTACCCTTAAATATTCATGTAAATTACAGTGGGTTTTTTTTGTGTGTCTTGATTTACAGATTGCTACTGTAGCATGTAACATGAAAGATTTAAAACTTAAACAGTTTGAATATTTCCTCTTGTATATTTTCTTTCAAGGAATACTGATGAATGTTACAAGATGGAGGTGGATACCCTTTCAGATAGATGATTTATTGTTGGAGAGAGGGAAATATTGGACCTGCTTAAAAGGAGCATGTTTCAAAGAGTGAGGTGGACCAATACTTCGCTCTTCGTTGTTGAGGCAGAGAAAATAGCTGCAGGAGTAAAGAATTAATTTACCTGCACAGTACATATGTAAGTAAATGTATTGCATACCAGTTTGAAGCTCATTTCTAAAGTTTAACATGTTTAATAATGAAAAGAACATTCAGAGTAAGATGTTTTGAGGATAACTTCAATCCTACATTTCATTAACAAATTCATTGCATTGCTATAATGAAGTAAATTACTTTAAAGAAATGATTAATAGGTAGTGTAATTCATGATTTTAAAAAAAGGATTTGTTAAGGACATACGCAATGTACCTTACCAACTGATAATTTTCCAAGATATTCCAAATTTAAACTTATAATATCATTATATGTTCTTAGACAAAAAATCAGCATGCGTTACCAGAGGTTTTGAAAAGATATCGAATTTTGAAAATTTTTGCATTATTCAAATAAAAATGTACAAAAATCATAAAACATGAATTCCAGATTTTTTTTCATCGAAAATTGTTTTAGGAAAAGTGTACAAATCCATATATAGAAATTAAAAATATTGCACACAGGTGCTTCATTTAGTGGAACTCTTCAACTCCAGGGAAGAATCCAAAACAGTTCAAACTACGTTGCGTATGAATAGTAAAGAAAAAATGACATGCTACATTATAAACCATCAAAATTATAAGGAGACAGAATGAAAATAAATTTATCAATACATGTAATGTCTTTTAGAGTCTTTGAAAAAAAAAAAAATTTAAGCCTTACAAAGAGAGAAGCATAATTAAATATAGAAAATGATAAAAAAATATAAATATACAGTTTTTCATGTATTACTTAACAGAATTTTACATTTACCATTTCAATTTTATTGCAGGAGGGTCATGTAGGAAAATGGATGTCTACACAATTTTATGGAGAGAGAAATGCTGTTGCAATCCTGCTGCAACTTCTGATCCTTCATTTTGGGGTATCATGGGATCAGTTTACTGTTGGTGCCAAATTTACTGATCTTGCATAAAGATCAGCAAGACCATTCTACAGAATGCAACTTCAGTACAGAGTATGTTTTACCAGTAATGCTTGTCATGAATAGATTTCTCTACATATTTAAGAAAAGAAAACCTCTCATTATTGCAATATTTTCTGCATTAATTTTTGATAAAAGTTTGTCTTCATATTAGGCATATTATATTTGGAAAAAATTTTATTCAGAAGCAAGAATAAAGTTTTCAAGATTCATGTAAAGTCAATGCAGTGATATGAATATAAATCAAGGACAAAATAAAAAATACAGTAATTTCATGCATTTACACAACTGTGAAATTTTAGGAATTAGGTTGCTGTGCAGTAGGTTTACCAGCAGTAACAGAGAAACAGAAAACAGTGAAGTCAATTAAAGAATACACATATATTTCAGGTATTAAATTTTATGCAATATACATTTTAATTATTTTGAGTTATTTCAATTTAGTAACCTTTATAATGTTTAGGAACTTTAATAAATTATATATAGATAGATATATGCACATATTTTTTTCTAAGGGTGTAAATTTATATATAATTGCTTTAAATTGAATTTACTGATCACTTGTACTTCTATTACTTTATTTGATAAATTTTTTTGTTCATGAAGGTATTAAAGGAAATGTTCTAAATTTACTTTTAGAACTTGAAGGAAGTATAATGGAGTCCTTATGCATGTAATACAAGGAGTAAGAATTCCAAAGACCATGACAGCACCTCTGCCAATTTATCAGGCCTCCTAAATCCTGGATCAAGGCTTTTACTTTCAGAAATGAATAGAAGAAAAAAAGTGTGGTCAGTTTTAAATAACTAATGTTTTTTTGAATGTCAGAATTAGTTGAATGATAGATAGCGTCTATATGCTCCTTCTAGTTTTGGGAAACCTCCTAACTGGCACTTTCACACAAGAAGGCACTGGAACTCTCCTTCCTGCTTCAAGAGGACCATGCTGCCACAAAACAAAATCACATTTTCCTGGTTCCTGAAGGCAGAGGGTGCAAACAGGGGTTCAAGATTATTAAGAAAATTCTTGTTCAGAATGATGAACCTCATGCCACAAACACAGATTTCTAAACTCTGGTTTTTTGGGATAATGCATGGAGATTGATTGATTGTATACTGTTTAACGTCCCTCTCAAGAATATTTCACTGATATGGAGACGTATGCATGGAGATTGACAACAGCATAGGATGTGAGGATCTTAAAATACTTTTCATTCTCCATAGAAACACCATGCAATTTCTAAACTGGAGTTTTCATACTGTAATGAACCTTGGATATAAGATATAATGAAATCTGTTTCTGCCTCTACAGCTTTGTTCAAAACTTGATGCTTTTCATCCACTTGTGTTAAAATATCGTACAAGTATAGTAATAAAAATATTTACTAGAATGAAAAAAAAAAAAGAAATATATGAGATAAAATGTTATTAAATTTTTTTAATACCTTAAAATGAAAATGATTTTGTTTTAATTTTAATTCTTTAACCATTGAAAAAAAGTTCATTGAAGCAGCATTAAAACTTGATGATATAATTTATTTTCAGTACAGTACATACTTGCAATGTTGAATCCAACTGACTGTCCTCTCTGTTTTCAGCTGCTGCCTCTAGAAAATGATTTCTGCTTGGAAGTGTCCCCTGGTGACATTGATTGTGCTCTGGCTAGCATAAGGATGGTAATGAGCTGACAACAGTAATTGTGAGATGTCCGAAATACATGTATACCAATTCTGATGTAGGAGGACCTTATCATAGAGGAAGGGTGAACATCATAACATTACCAGATAGCCAACCTATGTATAGGATAATAATCCATCATACTTCCTGCGTACTTGTGTTTTATTTGAATGGACAGCAAGGATTTTGGCAATTGGTACATTTACAACCTCTTCTCTTGCATGGCAGTAAGGTTTAACATTTGCCTTTTTTCACAGGGAAAGTACCGGTAAATGTTAAATTTCATAATACATGTGCTTTATTTCTCATAGGATCTTTTTACTTTTAAAATTTATGTAAAGTACTTTTATTTTCATTAATATATTACATTTTTAATAACTTTCAATTTGTCAACACCATTGAAATATATATGTATATATGTATTCCTTGTTTAAATTTTGGTAACATATGAAAAGTCTTATATTTTCAATGGTTTGGAATAATTTATACATGTATATGAAGATTCTATATGAAATCAATTGTAAACAAATGTGCATGAAAATTTTATTTTGTTTCTGTTTTCAACTTTTTGAATTGAATTGTGAATAATTTTTATGAACTGACAGTATCAAAATTTTATTAATTTTAGTGGACAATTTTCAATTTTTGTCAGTTACATGTACCTAACATTTTAATAATAATCAATTTACAATTTATATGGAATTGTTTATGCACCGATAAAAAAAATTGCTATAAAATATTGTGAGCATCATTTATGGCTGAGAATATTTTTCATTGCCAAACAAGACACATTGTTTGATTCTTTGATACTTTTCTACTTCTGTAAAAAAGATAGAGAGAAAAGAAAAGAATGAATAAAATACATTTTATTCAATAACTTGTTTTTTTAATTACTGGAATAAAACTATATTCTAACATTCAGGAAAAATTCCTATGAAGACTTGTTTCATCAAAGATCTTTAGGAGCAGGGTTAATTGCACATATAATTTTCCAAACTACCTACTGAATATGTGCAAATAATTACTTTTCCTTTCAAAATGGTAATTCTTCCTAAACAGTCATAACTTCTATGAATGAGGCATATGTGTGATAAAAAATTAAGAAATGTTATCATTTTTTTTGTTCTTGGCACACCTATACATTCCAGAGTAGAAATAAAGAAAGGAATGGTTATAGTATCAAAATTATTAATTGAAAAAATATTAAACCTTTGTAAAATCATTTAAATGGCTGCATTTTTAGCCATCAATGAGAACGTATACCTCTCTACCCCCCCCCCCCCCCCTTTTCAGGTCTACAGGCCTAACCCCTTTATGTTTTAACTGTTCATATGCAATCCAGGAATATATTTTTTTTTAAATATGGTGAATTATACCTTAAGTTAATATAAGTTTATTAACAAGTACGTTTTTCATGCAAATATTGGATTTCTTCTTTCATTTTACAAATAATTACTGCTCCCCGATCAATGCTTTGAAACGCTTGACTGTAAACAAACGTTTCATTGACCTAGAGTTTGCATGCATGACCATGCGGTGTCGGTCACGTTCGGAAGTGAGCACTCTTATTTGTTGTGCTTGTGTGTTTTGTGCATATATTTACTGCAACTCTCATACTGGATGCTATAACGATGTGTTCTGGTCTTTTTGCAACTTTACCTATTGCAAAATTCGCGATAGGTTTGTTACCACTATTTACAGTCACCAGCACTTCGAGGTACACGGTGTACTTGGTCACTGGACAAATGCATTGGCGCGTGACGATGATTTGGGTGTATACATAGTTAGAAAGTAACAATAGAACACGAACTAATATGGCGTCTATCGATGAAATATGGCGGCTATTTGTTTACACTCTCGGCTATTTTATGATGTCAGTAGAGCTTTAAGATTTCCAAAGCAAAATTTGGGTCAATGGAGGCATGTTCTTTATACCCCGGTAATTATTTTGAGTATCTTCAAATCTTATAAATTTATCTTCATTGCTGAAGCATGGAGCATTTGTCATTTTATGGATGTTATACGAATTATAAAAATATAACTTGTCACATTTTTAATAGTTACAGTCATGTATAGTAGTGCCATTTTTGCACCAAGTTTCTATTTATTATTTCCAATTTTCAACTCCAGGAATATCGAAATCGTTTCAAAATCTACAGACGATTTTATCGTGAAAGGAAAAATCGTACTAGTGTGAGAAAATATATACAACTTTTATATTTACAAATTGGTTACAAAAGGAAAGAAAATAAAAAGAATGTACGATTTTAATCGTTAAATTGAGGGAATTTGCAAGACGGTAAATATATTAGCTTTAATGTAAAAATCAATTTAAAAAGAAAACACTTAATAAGATACATGTATAATCAAAGAGCACATTACACATATATAATAATTATTATAAACAAGATATATACATAAAAGTACATATAACAAATATCTTGATTACCATCCGATTCCCACTGTGGGACATGGAGACCGGTCCTTCGGATGAGACCGTATAAACCGAGGTCCCGTGTCGAAGTAGGTGCTGGCACGAATAATATCCCGCACTGCTCAATGGCCCTAGGTGTCGAGTATAGGTCAAAATGTAGATCTCCACCGGTAAGTGGTGGCGTCTCCATATGAATGAAAAATTCTCGAGAGGGGGTTAAACAACATACAATCAATCTTTATTACCAGGAAAAGGAATTAATTGTATATATATTTAGAGGACGACCAGTAAAATTAAACAGCTAAATTATATTATCAATATTTGCTGCAGTGTAATCTTTTTCATTATTATTCTTTATGAATAAAAGGCAAAAATTATATACAATTTTTTTATTTTATATATACAAAAGTACAAATTGGTTACATAAGGAAAGAAACTGAAAAAAAATGTATGATTTTAATCGTTAATTTGAGAGAATTTACAAGACAGTAAATATGTAAGCTTTAATGTAAAAATCAATTTAAAAAGAAAAACACTGAAGGTACATGCATAATCAAAGACCACATTACAAAAATATAATAATTATATAAACAAAATATATATCTGTAACAAACATCTTTATTACCAGGAAAAGGAAGTAAGTGTGTATATATATAATTATTTAAATGACGATCGACCAGTAAAAACGCATGGAATTTACAGAAATGTCAACACAAAGAAATAAAAAAAAATCAATTATGAATACTAAGTAAATAAAAAGGGAATTTTGTTTAAGACATGCAATATTGGAAAGGATGGGATTACATTCGTTGCAAAATAAGATTATTTACGGATAAGAATATTTATTTTAAAATATATATTACAAATACAAGTTCTAGTCATGTAGCCCCTTTTCATTCAATGTGTTCAAGTGTCTGACCCCCCTCCCCCTTCCGATTCCAGGTCAGAAGAAACCTCGCTGAGTGTTCAAAGCATGAAGAATTTGGCCTTGGACAACTGTGCACTGGTTTAGAATATATGTATTTATACTGATATAGTAACGGAATGAATGTTTTGGAGATTAGAGTTTAAATATTGCAAGTTATTTTCGTGGCCATTGTCCATGATACGTAAATTTCATTCTGCTTTACATATAAAATGAGCAACAACTGCAAGATTTTCAGAGAAAAGGTATTTATTTATCTATACATATTGCTTTTATAGTCTTTAAACAGATTTTGCATATTTTAGATCCAGCAACAAATCATAATATGAAAATCTGTGAAATCATTTAATATTCTAGGAAGGGGGAGTGTACTGAAATGCGTATACATGTAGCTATAAAATGAATCTGATTACCTTACTTCATATTTTAAAGACGTTATTATTCTTTATGAATAAAAGGCAAAAATTATATACAATTTTTATATTTTATATATACAAAAGTACAAATTAGTTACAGGAAAGAAACTGAAAAAAATGTACGATTTTAATCGTTAATTTGAGAGAATTTACAAGACAGTAAATATGTAAGCTTTAATGTAAAAATCAATTTAAAAAGAAAAACACTGAAGGTACATGCATAATCAAAGACCACATTACAAAAATATAATAATTATATAAACAAAATATATATCTGTAACAAACATCTTTATTACCAGGAAAAGGAAGTAAGTGTGTATATATATAATTATTTAAATGACGATCAACCAGTAAAAACGCATGGAATTTACAGAAATGTCAACACAAAGAAATTTAAAAAAAAACTCAATTATGAATACTACGTAAATAAAAAGGGAATTTTGTTTAAGACATGCGATATTGGAAAGGATGGGATTACATTCGTTGTTGATATTTCATGAGGTATTTATTCTACATCAATGTGAATATACAAGTATACAATTATGCACTGTCTTATATAATATTTCTGATACAAATTATGTTGGCTTTGCAACTTTATAATGAAATTATCAAAACGATTTCTTTTGTCACAAATGTAATCGTTCAACCACAAAAATCAATGCGTTTAAAACTCAACCACACAATATAAATGAGCATTGAGCATCAAACCTAAACATCTGCATGTACAGGACTTTTTTATTCTATAAATTGAAGGTATGAATAGATTTTTTTTTTACATCTTTGTTCTGAAATATACGATGTTCATCAATAAACCAATGTGCAGTTCCAGGATGAAATGCTCCTTACATAAAAAACACAACGAAGCCCAAAGAGATGGTCCCCAACAAAACGCATTATGTTTAAGTTTAAGGCTTTCTTAACTCAATCATTACTTTAGTGCTCAAACATAATCATGAAATATACCGGGTAATTACATTTGACACTTTTAATTTCATTTCACTTCATTTACATGTAATTGTATTGTTCCAATAGACTTTTGGGTTTGATTATAATTTTTTATCGTCATACCTCTTTTGTTTGAAAGTAAGAAATTAATTTTAAAAAACATAATTGAATTATGCATCCCTGATTTTTATACACGAGTATTAAATCAATACTTTGTAAAGGTATTGAAACTTGTACATTTCAGGTTCCAACCACAAATCTACTCGTGTAAAACAAAAACTTTTTGAAAAACTGGAACTACTTTTATAGATATCTTAGTGAAAGAAAATTAAACACTATAACCAAAGAAACAGTACACGTAATCTTGTTGGCTTTGTCAAAGACATTGGGGTCAAACTTGAAGCAGTTCTGTTTCCCATCAATCACTTGGAAGCTCTGGGCCTCGCAGAATGATGTTCCATTCTGATATAGAGCACCTGTTAAAGAGTCAATATAAAAAATGTATACAGATATTGATCAATAAAACGTAAGTACCTCTAACAAATACGGATTACAGATTTTTCCTCTTTTCAGCAACAGCCAAAAAATGAAACGGTTCTATTTTGAATGATATAAACGCTTGTTTTAATATAGACATACATCAAGGCACAACTCGAATTTATCATTTGTAAGAACAAAGAATATGTATATTCAGAATAAGTATTATGGAAATATAATGTCAAGACAGAATATTTTAAAACAAATTTGCTAATTACTACAGACTGTTAACTGAATAAATTAGCATTTATACCGTACCTATTCTTTTTCCATCGTAAAAAGCTCCTTGACAGTGGTGATAAACTGATTTGCAAAAGTCCGTGCAAACATGAACTTTTTTTTCTTCATCTCTGAAATAATCAAGATGAAAAAAATAAAAATACGTAATGTTTAAAAAAAATGTTCTCCCAGGAATAAAAACATATTTAATGATATTTAAGAATGCATCTCACAAAAAAGGTTAGACTGATAAAGTGTATAAGTTTATTTGTAACATGTATATACGAGTATTTATATCTGTTCCTTAAGCCAAGCTTTAAAAATTCTTGGTTTGCAGTTGCCGATCTATAATTTTTTAATTGGGTAGGTAGGTAGGCATTCTTGTTTTTAATTACGTTTTTGGATATTTGCCAGATAACTTTTATTCTAGGCCTTGTTTTTCCATATTCATGTATTTCATCCATATGAACTTTGTAAATTTATAATAATCAATTGACTTTCGATTTAAGTTAACCTATTTGAAAACACTTAATATTAGATTCCGAATTAAGGCTTAATAAAGAAAAACGAAGTTCCCTACTTGTGATACCAATGTACTTGGTCTGGGGCACAGAAGTAACACATCATGTAGTTGAGGTGATTGGTGCAGTCCCGGGAAGCTCCGTATAAAGGTGGCATTCCAGAGAACACAGAGGTAACCTCCGTACGCTTACAGCAAGCTTTGGGGGCATACCATGTACAGTTTATAAGTCCCTCAACTTCTACCGCAAATCTTTTATTTTCTAAAAAATATATAAATATTGTACATTGTTACATTATAAAAGGTGTATATATAATTTTTGCATGGTTTGCAATTTTTATGATTTGAACAGTGTACAAGATCGTCCATTTCATGGCTAAATTCATGTTCTTTTGTTTTTCGAGACTTTCATGTATACGAAGGTCATTCAAAAAGTTCGTAGATTTTTTAATTAACGTAATATTGTATCCAATTTTTACACGCATTAACAAAATTTTCTTTTCTGTATATATTCTACTTTGCATGAACAACTGTAACAGTTCGAATGTCACTAGTTTGGGATTTAGTTTTTACTAACATGTAGGCACTGCAGGCGCGGATCCAGAATTTTTTTTCCGGGGGAGGGGGTCCACCCCAACCAATAGAAAATTTCCAACCCAGAAATTCCTTGGCAAGGAAAAAATAGGGGGAAAAACGTAACATAAAAAACATTGAATAATTCAATTATTATTTATTTTCACTTTTAGAAAAATTGCACTATTTATAACACTGTTCGAAAAAAAATATTTTAAAAATTCTGCAGAATTAAGATAAGGATTTTAATGTCGAATAAGCAAAATTTGGAAGACAAAGTTGTCAATTCTTAGCACCATTCTTAGATGTACCGAACTATTAGTGTATGTATATTTTACTCTTACATGTAAACACTGTGTACTCCGTAACTGCAAACATCTCCAAAATAGAAGGGCAAAAATCAATAGAGTTGTATGCTGTGTTGAATGAAAAATCGAATGGTTCTTACCGAAATATGTGCAAGGTTTCTTGTCATGGTTGCGTTCGATGTGAAATTCAATTACTGAATTTTCGGCGATCGCCATGTCCGAGAAGGAAAGTATGAGGAATACCACCAGGTAATTCATTCTGAAGAACTCTTGCTGGTGTAATCATAAAGTCGGTATTTTAATCAAACTGGCTGAGAACCCAGCATCTGTATCAGACCAAATCAATATAGGAAATAGAGAGAGAGAGCAAATAAAGATAAAATTCAGGTCGGATTGCAGCCTTTTCCGGATGTATTTTTAAGATTTTTTTTTTTTAATAAATAATAACTTTTTTCCAGATCTTCAACCCTTTAATGAAATCCAATAGATTTTGACGACGTTTTTAACGATTTAGAATTTAGGGATGGCAATCGAAAACAGAATTAAAGACACAAGATACGTTACGCTACCATTCGAAATGTTATTCGAAGGAATAGTAGTCCCACAGACAGTGTATGGAGTTTTCATTAAAGGTAACCTTTAAGATATAGAAACTAGATGTACTCTGAGCAATGAACTCACTGAATGATACGCACACCCGATTTAATGGCGGCAAAGTCCATGTTTTGAACTGGAAGACATGCACGAAATAAGCGTCAGATCAAAAAATAAAATAAGAGGTGCTCACTGGCATTTTGTAATATAGAATCTGTGAAAGTATCATTAAATTTTATTCAATACTCATACTTAAGAGATGGGTACCCTTCAATATTGTACACTGAAAGAAAAACCTAGTGAATTTAACTAGTGTGTTTCGTATTTTTTTAGCGTTGGTCGTGATTAGTAAACTTTCAGTTTACTGGTTAAGATAGTGAGTTGTGGAGCGGGGGTCGTATAGATACTTAGATACCCAGTGAAAGTTACTCATCCATTACTAAATTTACTGATCTTATCTAGTAAATATACCAATATCTGGTAAAACTACTATTAAGGTAGTGGTTGTACGGACAGTGAATCTACTAGTTTTCTTAGTGACATTAACTAGTTATTTTTTTACAGTGTAGAAAGAATGACAATGTCCATGTTTTGTGATGGGAAACCCGAAACACATGTATGTTTAGAAGGTGTACAATGACACTGTGTAACAAATGAAGTTTAGAATCTGTGGAAAGTCTCATGAAAATGTATTCATTGGCCAGTATACATCTAAGAGGAGTAGCGGATAAAAGATGGATACCCCAAAGCGTAACAGACGGGTGGACGGACATCCCTATCACTATATACATTAGCTGCAGAACTGTAGCTCTCCGAAAAAATATATATTGATAGACCGGAGAGATACAGTGCCACCCACTGAAAAAAACTGTATATTTATTGCGCACAAAAAAAGTGCGCTGTTTTTCGATTTATTTCTCCGTGTTTTTAAAACTGTCATTTCAAAATATTACTAAAAATATGTTTCTTACATAATCTTTCACTGTTTCCACAACAAAACATTCCTTATAATTGTTTTTAATAGCCCTCCTGGTCCTGAAGTTGAGATAATTGAAAATTTTGTCTATTTATACTGCCAATTTGGTTTGCAAGATAATTCGGTCCAACGCGCTTCGTACAGATGTAAACTACAAAAGTAATTGATAGAGGAGTAAGGATTTTATTGAAATCTAGTTTTTTTTTTGCAATTGAGGTAAGAATTCTGAAAATTTATCCAGAAACAGCACACTTTTTGTGCGCAATAAATATACAGTTTTTTCAATGGGTGGCACTACATAGCTCTCCGGTCTATCATCAATTAATATAATTATATTTTTGGAGAGCTACAGTTCTGCAGCTATATAGACATGTACATTCTCACTTTTCAAGCGGGTGCATCCTCGATAGCCAGGGTTTCTGATACCCTTGGCTAGCGAAGGTGAACCGGGGTATGATTTTAATAAAAATGCACAGAGGAAGTACTTCAGGTAGGATTCTTCTCTGGTTTCTGACTAGATGAAACGTTCAAAGTATATTTGCTTATATGTGTTATATATTGAGGTGTAAGGAATTTAAAAATTCATATTTTTCTTTCCTCAGCACAATTGTACAACTTTAAATAGAAATGGTAAACTGCGTTTGAAAACTAGCAGGGACTATATTTTTGGCGGAATGGTGGCGTATGAAAATATCTTCTTTTCTGCCTTTCAAAATTATAATAGAACAATGAATTT